AGTACGATTTGTTACGGCCAAGAGTGGGCCAGAAAGAGCCACCAAGACCCGGCAGTACGATTTGTTACGGACAAAAAAAAACAAAAAAAAGGGGGGGGGGGGGGGGGGGGGGGAGTGGGACAGAAAGAGCCACCAAGAACCGGCAGTACGATTTGTTGCGGCCAAGAGTGGGCCAGAATGAGCCACCAAGATCCGGCAGTACGATTTGATGCGGCCAAGAGTGGCCCAGAAAGAGCCACCAAGACCCGGCAGTACGATTTGTTACGGCCAAGAGTGGGCCAGAAAGAGCCACCAAGACCCGGCAGTACGATTTGTTACGGCCAAGAGTGGGCCAGAAAGAGCCACCCAAACCCCGGCAGTACGATTTGTTACGGACAAGAGTGGGACAGAAAGAACCACCAAGAACCGAACCCTCAAGAGCAGGATAAATAGAAATTGTATTTGCCACACCGTTGGGAAGCACCAAGATGCCAGCAAAAAGTGCAGAACAAAAACACACCATTTTGTTAACCCTTGTTGTTGTGCTCAACATCCTTGAAACAAGAAGTCAAGAACCAGTGCAGAAAAAAAGCCCCATTGTGTTAGTCCTAGTTGTCGTGCTCAACATTCTTAAAACAAGAAGCCAAGAACCAGTGCAGAAAAAAAGCCCCATTTTGTTAGTCCTCGTTGTCGTGCTCAACATCCTTAAAACAAGAAGCCAAGAACCAGTGCAGAGAAAAAAAACCATTTTGTTAGTCCTGGTTGTCGTGCTCAACATCCTTGAAACAAGAAGCCAACAACCGGCCCCTTCCCCCACCGGACCTCTCACGATTGACACCTGCTGTCAATCTGGCAAGGGAGTGTGACAGCCATCCGCCGGGAGGGTCCAGAGCTACTGACAATCCAAAGGGGCAAACGGCCATCAAGGGAGTGTGACAGCCATCCGCCCCCTTTCCACCAAGCTCCACCCAGATTGCCACCAGCTGACAATCTGAAGCCCTGAAGATTGCCACCTGCTGACAATCCAAAGGAGCAACCGGCCAGCAAGGGAGTGTGACAGCCATCCGCCCCCTTTCCACCAACCCCCACCACGATTGCCACCTATTGGCAATCTATACCCCCTTAAGATTGCCACCTGCTGACAATCCAAAGGGGCAACCGGCCAGCAAGGGAGTGTGACAGCCATCCGCCCCCTTTCCACCAACCCCCACCAGGATTGCCACCTCTTGGCAATCTGTACCCCCTTAAGATTGCCACCTGTTGGCAATCTGTACCCCCTAAGATTGCCACCTGCTGACAATCTAGATCCCCTGTGATTGCCACTTCTTGGCAATCTGTACCCCCTTAAGATTGCCACCTGTTGGCAATCTGTACCCCCTAAGATTGCCACCTGCTGACAATCTAGATCCCCTGTGATTGCCACCTGTTGGCAATCTGTACCCCGCTACGATTGCCGCCTTCTGACAATCTAGACCCCCTAAGATTGCCACCGTTTTGGGGCCTGGAGATTGTCACTCGGGGCCTGGCGATTGTCACTTTGGGGCCTGGAGATTGTCACCTGGGGCCTGGCGATTGTCACTTTGGGGCCTGGAGATTGTCACTCGGGGCCTGGCGATTGTCACTTTGGGGCCTGGAGATTGTCACCTGGGGCCTGGCGATTGTCACTTTGGGGCCTGGAGATTGTCACTTTGGGGCCTGGAGATTGTCACTTTGGCGTTGTGGGTGGCCTGGTTGAAAGTTTTTGCAGGTTTTGAGAGGTTTTTAAAGGCTCAGAGTGGTTTTAAAACGTTCTAAGTGGCTTCCGAAGTTATTTCAAAGGGCTTTAAGCAGTCTTGCAGCCGGGCAAAATTGACACCCACCGTCAATCTACGACCGCCCGGGGACCAGGATTTCCCCGACCCGCGCGCGTACACACAATGCGCTTTTGGACCCTCCGCTCGCCCCCTAAGGGGACATCCTTGCTGTCTTTTGGAATCTAGTAATGGCGTTGAACTACAGCGACTGCTGTACGCGCCAGTTCACTAGCGAATCGGCCTCCAAATACCTACAAAGAGCCGAGGTGCCTTCCTTGAGCATTCCAAAAGTAGGCCACGGTCATACTTTGGGGATGTGTGCCACGGACGCGCTTTGCGCGAGGATCGGTTTGTTTTCCTCAGTGCCAAGGGCCAAGGGAGCTTCCCATTGAGCCTGTCAACGGGAACGCGTGTACTCGCTCGCGGGTGCGCGTTACTACCGGGGATCCGATCTATCTCCAATCGGTGAACACATATGGGCGAAGGATGTTTCAATCCGACCAGAAACATCGGGGAAGCAGGGAGCGTGTGCTGCGGGACATTCTCTTATGAGGCGCCTAAAATAAGGCCATCCCAGTACTAAGTACGCTGGGGGGTGCCTTCGAAGACCTTCACACTCTCATACTTCCCACGCATGCATTCAGTGAACATGTCCAAGCCAAGGACTGAGTTTTGGTGCAAGCGACTCGGCTGCAATTAAACACGTGCATGTCCACGGCCATCATCAACATATATGTTAACTCAACATGTGCTCGCCCAGGCATTGCTCTGGTGGTCGCAACTCGGCTGCAATCAAACATGTCCACGTCTAGAGCGTGCTTGCGTCATGCTTGCGTCATGCTTGCCTCAATTCCCCTGCCGAAGCCAAGGCGCGGTCAGATGAGGCGAGAGCCGCCTCCAGACTGCATCTAGAATCTAGACGCAAACCTCGAGTCCGCACAAGCCTTTCAGTGAGTTTTGAAGGGTTAGTCTGGCAGAATTGCTTCGCTTATTGGGGCGGTAGGAAGGAAAACCTCTTGCAGAATTGTTTCGCTTATTGGGGCGTTAGGAGGGAAAACCTCTTGCAGAATTGTTTCGCTTATTGGGGCGCTAGTAAAGAAAATCTCTGGCAGAATTGTTTCGCTTATTGGGGCGTTAGTAACCAAATTCTCTGGCAGAATTGTTTCGCTTATTGGGGCTTCAGGAATGAAAACCTCTTGCAGAATTGTTTCGCTTATTGGGGCGTTAGACGAAAAAACCTCTTGCAGAATTGTTTCGCTTATTGGGGCGTTATAAGGAAAACCTCTTGGGCCATCCCAGGCTAAGTATGCTGGGGGGTGCCTTCAAAGACCTTCACACTTCATCATACCATAATATTTTCACACACACGCTTTCATTCAGCACGTCCCAGCCAAGGTATGCCACCTTGGAATGCAACTTGGCTGCAATCAGACACGTACATGTCCACGTCAGCTTCGCATCCCGCCCTTTTTGTGCCGCTGCCGAGGCACTACCAGAGGGACGGCAATGAGAAACGGCCACTAAGCTGCAATTGCACGCATGCAAGCTCGCAGTTTCCTTTCCATGTCGTACGTCAGGTCCGCTCCAAACCAAGCTGCCAGCCAAGACCTAAGGAAGATACATCCGCGATGAGAGCCCCTGCAGATGCAAGATGAGCCTCCTATATCACTGGTAAGGGGTGCCTTCAAAGACCTTCACGCTTCATCATACCATCATACTTTCCCGAACATGCATTGATTCATCACGTCACAGCCAAGGTATACCACCTTGGAATGCAATTTGGCTGCAATCAGACTTCATGTACATGTCCGCAGCCAAGGTACAGCTTTGGTCGCATCTTGACAGCAACTAGACAATGCCATATTTGCTTTATTTTTACGTTGATTCCCTTCCAATGCCAAGGTACAACTACGCGAGGACCTCCGGAGTCCAGTTGAAAAGCCCGCCCACCACCTGACAATCTGTATCCTCGTCCATTTTACGAAGGAAATCGGCTTGGAGAGCTTGCGAATCACTTGACAATCCTCACCACCGTCCAGTTTATGAAGGAAAGAGGCTTGGGAGCCCGCGAACCACCTGGCAATCTTTATTCCCGTCCATTTTATGAAGGAAATCCATTTGGCAAGCTCCCTCTTTGTTCCAGGTAGAGACATACCGTATTTCAGCCGAAATACAGCTGGGGATGTTTCACAAGGAAGGCAACAACCGCAGGTGTGAAAACATGCTCGGCCCGAGCATCGTTCACGAGTATTTCTAGGTGTGAAGGTCGAAGCATGTAGCTTCCAGTCTTGCAGATGCTGCTTGAGCATTGCATCCTGTGTTCCGCAGCAGTATCTTGCAGCTTCAAAGTTCGCATGTCCTTTCCTTCAGAGCACCCACTAACTAGATGGAGGGCCGCCGTCTGGAGTGGAGCCGGCGTCTGCAAGGCGGTCCTGGCTCGTGGTCATTGATTGACTCGGACGGTGCGGCCTTTACCACTGAAGCAGCTCCTCGATGGCATCTGCTCTTCTTTTCCACCGATTACGTGGAGAGACTGCGGTGCCGATTCGTCCAGTGGCATCCAGCAGATGCCCAGGTTGCTGTGTTCGAGGCTGAGGAGCTGGACTATGATACTTGGATCAGTTATCCTGCCGGAAAGGTCTACGTCCGCGAAGTGCCCTCACCCTTGGTCGTCACCTGCAGCTTAACACCCGTCCCGCAAAATGCTGTTGACATGGTGTTCACCACGGTGGCCGGCGAAGAGCTGCTGCGAATCGCCGGCATGTCGAACCCTTTGCCGGAGCTGGAAGAGCTTGCTACATCCGCTGCCCTAGCAGCGGCAGCCCAGGGCCGCCTGCGGAGCCGCAACCAAGCAGTGCGCACGACGTTAGACGGGCCACTGATCACGGAAGTCCTTGCCCATAACACGGGAGGCATGCTGACAGCACAGAGCTAGGAAAGAGTCGTTCGTTTCACACAACCTCTGCCGTGCGCCGGCCGCGAAGGAGCACCGCGCCTTGCAGCCACAGCAGCAGAAGCGAAAAAGGAGAGTCGGCTGCAAGCAGCAAGCCAACGACGCTGACATCGTGCCTGCAGCGAGAGCACACCAACCTTAACCTGGCACCGCAGCCCAATTCGTGCTCGAGCCTCAAAAGCAGAGATCCGCTTCCTGAAGAACCATCTAGGCCGAAGCTGCTTCCGACAGTAAGAGAGAAAGAGCAGGCACGGTTCGCTCCCCCGCCCGTGCAGGTGAAGCCATCATGCAGCCCGAAAGCAGCCGACGGTGGGCCGACATGACAGCCGACGACGATCAGGCGGGATCGCATGCGACACGCGCAGACGGCCCGACCCCGCCTGAAACCTCAACGGCCTCAGCGCACCGAACCACGGGGCGACCGGCTGGGAGTTCGAAGCGTTCAAGAAGGACTACCTGGCGAGGAGATGCAGCCTGACACTTCTGACGCCCGTGCATGCCCCAGAGCCTGCGAAGAGAGAACCCGTGTACACACGCGTGTATGTCGCGCAACTGCGCACCGAACCCACCGGCCGAGGGCGGAACAATCAAGATCGACGAGGTGCGCTGACACCTCGTGCCGTCGCCCTCAGAAATCAGGAGAGCACACGGGCATGCACGCACGAGGCCTGGAAAACCTCCCCGACAACCGCACCTCGACGGGACACGACCCCGCCCTCCGGCGCGAAGCCAAGAACACCCCGACGGAAGAAGGCATCACGGCCGGAATGCAAGTAAGGACTGGTGCCACGAGAAAAGACATAGAAAAAAGAAAGCAAGCCGTACGCGGCATCGTGACCTGCAGGCCCCCAAAAAGCCACTGCCGCGCCAGCCACGATGGACGGCCGACGACGAGAGAGCCCTGGATCGAGCTTTCCAGCGAGCAGAGGCACCGGAGAGAAGCTACACCCAAAAGGCGCACAACACCTCCCGGCAAGCGTCTAGACCCACTGTGTGCACAGGCCGACAGAGCCGCCGAGGCAACACCGCCAAGAAACGAAGCCGGGGAAGCGGCAAAGCTCGCAAGGAATGCCGCTGAACCATCTCACGAAGAACCGGCCGCGCGACGAGGGGGGGCCGAGACGGACTCCGACCACGACACGGAGCCCGGACCCAGCGTCGAGGCCGGCGTTTTCCCTCGAGCATCCACTGTCAAGAGCGCTCTTTAGGCAAGCAGACAATGCACACGAGAGGAGCACTTTCGGGGCATGCTGGCCATCAAGAAGATGTCAGGCGACGGCAACTGCCTCTTCCACGCGCTCGGAGAGAACACCGGCGAGAGCGGGGCATGCCTCCGAGCCCTAATCATCCAGTACCTCAGAGAGAACGCAGAAGCCGAAGAAGACGAAGAGAAAGTGCAGGCCTGGCTACAGGAAAGCCAATACCTCCAAAGCGATCCGGGTCACTGGGGCGGCGACACGGCCATCATCGCTTTCACCCGCATGAGGCAGCAGGGAGTCCTTTTGCACTGGCGGACGCCAAACGGCGACATCCTCACGAGCGAGCGCACGCACTCGGACGTGGACGAAGCAGCCCAACGCGGGCCGCACGCAGCACCGAACGCCACGGAAGTGATCCATCTCTGGTACAACGGCAGGGACCACTACGACCTGCTGGTGCCCATAGACCGAGCACCGCCAACCCCATTCCGACACACATTTTTGCTTCAGCACGGAAGATGCTAAGAGACGTGCTAACTTGAAAATCTGCACAGAACCCCATTCCGACACACATTTTTGCTTCAGCACGGCAGATGCTAAGAGACGTGCTAACTTGAAAATGTGCACAGAACCCCATTCCGACACACATTTTTGCTTCAGCACGGAAGATGCTAAGAGACGTGCTAACGTGAAAATGTGCTCAGAACCCCATTCCGACACACATTTTTGCTTCAGCACGGAAGATGCTAAGAGACGTGCTAACTTGAAAATGTGCACAGAACCCCATCCCGACACACATTTTGCTTAAGCACGGAAGATGCTAAGAGACGTGCTAACTTGAAAATGTGCACAGAACCCCATTCCGACACACATTTTTGCTTAAGCACGGAAGATCGCTACGAGGAAGATGCTAACTTGAAAATGTGCACAAGAACCACATTCGACACACATTTTTGCTCTTAAGCCGGAAGAAGATGATAGAGACCCCCACCCACCCCCCCACCCACACCCACACCCCTGTTATGAAACAAGGCCTCCAAGCTCCAGACAATCCAGGACCACAGCGTATGCAAGGTACCTTCAGTAGTGACACTCTTCGGAAAAGAGAAGATCCAAAGGTGGTCCTGCATCCCGGCTTGGCTAGACAGCAATCCACGGAAGGAGCATGTCACCAGGGAGTCGTTGTTTTGGAAAGCTGCTCCATCGCTGTGGAAAAGCAAAGGGATGCATTTTTCCTTCCAGTTCTTGCGGAACATAGGATGATTTTGCAATCGAGGGTCCTGGTCTGGTCTCGCCTTAGACCAGAAACTCTTGATGTTCTCCGGGGTACCGAAAATGGACTGGAATATCAAAGGCTGGCCTTCCAGAAACCCACCCCACCCTCCCACCCCCCCCTACCCTCCCCACCCTCACCCCCCCTACCCCCGCCCTTGAACCCCCCGCTAGCCCACCGCACTTCCTACCCCCCTCTAAGCCTCCCCAACCCCCAACCTTCTTCATCCCCTACCCTATAGCCTCCCAACCCCAAATCCACCAAAAAACCGCCACAATTCAGGTTCGACCTTTAACGAGGGTTTAGGACGCTGTGCGCTCCTCCCGTTCGACCTATTATGGTTCGACCTGAATGCACCTTCACCCTGAGGCAACAGCCGGGAGCCCCACCCAAATCCAAGCTCCAGACCCAAAATCCAAGCCCCAGGCCCCAAATCCAGGCTCCAGACCCGCCCAGTCCCGAATCCAGGCTCCAGACCCCAAATCCAGGCCCAGTCCCAGCCCAATTCCCCTTCAAACTCCCTGTCACCGGCCAACCTGACCAACTCGACAACCAAACTCAAAACACGGATCAAAAAACAAAACTCTCTGTCACCGTCTGTCACCGGCCAACCTATCCAATTGGACAACAAGAAAGAACGGTTGGCCGGTGTCCAAACGCGAGTTTTTCCACCGGCCAACCGGGCCCTTTCGTTACAAGAAGAGGAGGGGCGGCCCGGTGCGAGGAGTTTCCGCACCCCAAACCCTAAATAATGTCAATAAACCCTAAACCCTAAATTTTAGACGGCCAGAGGCCGAAGATGCGCCAGCGCAGGTTCTGGTTTGATGCCCAGCAGGTACGCAGGATTTAAGGCAAGCAACCGTAAGGTTTAGGGTTCATCGTTTGGATTCATCACTTCCATTTACTTAAACCCTTTTTCGGGGGCTCATCACTTCCATTTACTTAAACCTCCTTCGGGGGCTCATCACTTCCATTTACTTAAAACCCTCCTTGATGGGTTCATCACATCAATTTATTTAAACTCTTCTTCGGGGGTTCATCACTTCAATTTACTTAAATTCCGCTTCGGGGTTCATCATTTCATATACTTAAACCCTTTTTCGGGGTTCATCACGTCATGTACTTGACCCCCCCGAGGGTTTAAGTGAATTGAAGGGTTTGACCCCCGCGAGGGTTTAAGTGGATTGAAGGGTTCAACCCCCCGCGCGGGTTTAAGTACATTGAACTGACCCAAGCAACCTACTGAAGGCCGACCCCCCACCGCAGCGAATGGGGTCGGCCGCAGCAGGCGGACCGGAAGGCGCCTGCCGGACCGAAGGCGATGGCTGAAAAGCGAGCCGTAGGTCCTGGACCTCAGGTCCACGCGGCTCCAGTGAATAGGCCGCTACTGTCAGCCTATATAATAATAACCCTAAACCTTGGTGCAAACCGGCCGGGCACGCTTGAAATCCTCCAACCTTAAATTAAGGACCTGTCGGCCACAATTAAGGATTGAGACTTCAAATTAATGACGAGGCTTTAAAACTGAGGATTGGAGCCGAAAATGAAGGACTGGGGCTGCAAAATTCAGGCTTGGAACCTAAAATTGCGGACCGGTGCTCCAAAATTTTGGATTGGGAGCTCAAATTAAGGACCGGCCCCAAGACCCGGAAGTACTATCTGCTACGGCCAAGAGTGGGCCAGAAAGAGCCACCAAGACCCGGCAGTACGATTTGTTACGGACAAGAGTGGGACAGAAAGAGCCACCAAGAACCGGCAGTACGATTTGTTGCGGCCAAGAGTGGGCCAGAAAGAGCCACCAAGACCCGGCAGTACGATTTGATACGGCCAAGAGTGGGCCAGAAAGAGCCACCAAGACCCGGCAGTACGATTTGATGCGGCCAAGAGTGGGCCAGAAAGAGCCACCAAGACCCGGCAGTACGATTTGTTGCGGCCAAGAGTGGGCCAGAAAGAGCCACCAAGACCCGGCAGTACGATTTGTTACGGCCAAGAGTGGGCCAGAAAGAGCCACCAAGACCCGGCAGTACGATTTGTTACGGACAAGAGTGGGACAGAACGAGCCACCAAGAACGGCAGTAGATTTGTGGGCCAAGAGTGGGCCCGAATGGCCACCAAGATCCGGCAGTTACGATTGATTGCGGACCAAGCTGGGCAGAACGAGCCCCCAAGCACCCGGGCGGTACGATTGGGTACGGCCAAGAGTGGGCCAGAAGGAGCCACCAGATCGGCAGTACGATTGACGCGGCAAAAGTGGGCCAGAAAGAGCCACCAAGACCCGGCAGTACGATTTGTTACGGCCAAGAGTGGGCCAGAAGGAGCCACCAAGATCCGGCAGTACGATTTGATGCGGCCAAGAGTGGGCCAGAAAGAGCCACCAAGACCAGAAATTGTATTTGTCACACCGTTGGGAAGCACCAAGATGCCAGCAAACAGTGCAGAACAAAAACACACCATTTTGTTAACCCTTGTTGTTGTGCTCAACATCCTTGAAACAAGAAGTCAAGAACCAGTGCAGAAAAAAAGCCCCATTGTGTTAGTCCTAGTTGTCGTGCTCAACATTCTTAAAACAAGAAGCCAAGAACCAGTGCAGAAAAAAAGCCACATTTTGTTAGTCCTCGTTGTCGTGCTCAACATCCTTAAAACAAGAAGCCAAGAACCAGTGCAGAAAAAAAGCCCCATTTTGTTAGTCCTGGTTGTCGTGCTCAACAACCTTGAAACAAGAAGCCAACAACCGGCCCCTTCCCCCACCGGACCTCTCACGATTGACACCTGCTGTCAATCTGGCAAGGGAGTGTGACAGCCATCCGCCGGGAGGGTCCAGAGCTACTGACAATCCAAAGGGGCAAACGGCCAGCAAGGGAGTGTGACAGCCATCCGCCCCATTTCCACCAAGCTCCACCCAGATTGCCACCAGCTGACAATCTGAAGCCCTGAAGATTGCCACCTGCTGACAATCCAAAGGGGCAACCGGCCAGCAAGG